CACTCTGATCAGGACCCTAGCCATGCATTATGCCACTGGCGCCCTCTTTAGAGCAGGTATTTTTGAAATAGGTACTTTGGGTTCTGGTTTTATGCTTCTAGGTGATTGAATTCTTATGCTGGGTTTGGTTTGAATTGTTTTATTTTTTCTTCATAATATGGTTATTTTAAGATTTATTCAGTTGACATAATATCTAGGTATGGAATTGAAATTAAGTCGTTAAAAGGTAATAAGTATAATTCATTTAGTTTTGTTTTCTTAACATATTTTGCTAGCATTTGAATTTATTAAGTTAAGAAGATATCTATATATGTATTTTGATTCTTTGTCTTTTTTAAAATTGATTAATTAAAAATTAAAATTAATTAAGTGAGTATATACTAGTGCACCAGACTGTATATCAGCTGCATAGAAGAAAATAAAAAGATTGAGGTTATTTTACATGAAACATTTTCTTCCAGGGTGGGTGGTCGGTTCACTAGAGTTGCTAGGCAACCCTACTGGACTGGTCAGAAGTATCGGGACAGGAGTAGCCGACCTCTTCAGAATGCCGTATGCTGGACTCTCAAGAGGACCGGGGGCATTTGTTGGGGGGGTGACACAGGGCATGGGGTCACTGTTGGCCAATGTCACAGCAGGTGAGTGTTTGTTGGAGGGGTGACACAGGGCATGGGGTCACTGTTGGCTAATGTCACAGCAGGTGAGTGTGGATGAAATAGTTGTCATTGAGATAGACTGTTTTGATTGTGTGTGTGTGGGGGGGGGGTGAGTGTGAAGGTGTGCTTGTGCCCATGTGTGTTTGTGAGCATTGGATTTCTGTGTTTGTGTACATGTGTGTTTGTGAGCATTGGATTTCTGTGTTTGTGTACATGTGTTTCAGTATTTGTTTTGTGATTTTACAACATAAGCTATCTCTTACTACTTGTGAAATAAGTCTTTACTGAGAGTTATTTGTCTTTTTTTTGTGCCATTTTGATTTTATGCAATTGTAGATGTTGTCACTGTAAGATTAAATATACTATTTCTATTGTATTTTATGTATGAATCATCAGTATATCAAAGTATTTTACCATTGTTGCAGACAAACAAAATTGAGATTCAGCTTATCAATAGTGTGAACCAATGTGGTTTATTTTCTTTCAAGACAGTGCCTTATGAAAAAAGTTTAGATAAAAAAAACTCAAAACTTTTTCAGTTCTGTATTATCCTTGGTTTTTCTCTCCCATCAGGCACTCTTTCGTCCATCACCAGTTTTGCATCCAGTGTGTCCAGAAACATGGACCGTCTTTCGTTGGACACTGACCATTCTGAGAGACAGGAGCACAGCAGACGCCATCACCCAGTAGGGGTGTCTTCTGGACTAAAACAGGGGTTCACTGGATTTGGGCTGAGTCTACTTGGTGAGCTCTGTATAAGATATTTATATATGGTCATTGCTAATTACATAAAGTATGATTTAAAGAAACAGAAGACCTTTTTAAATTGAGCATAATTATACTCTAGAATTTCATAAGTGGTATAAGGTTTTGAAATATTGACTGCTTAATAGCCTGGATATGGTGTAAGAGAACCACTTAGCAGACAGAGCTGCCACCTTTGACAGGGTCATGTAGTTAACAATTAGTAGTTTTAAGGAACTTGTGCTTTGCTTTATTATTATTATTATTATTATTATTATTATTATTATCTTTGCCCATCAGGTGCCATAGCAGGTATAGCAGACCAACCTATCCAGAGTCTGACCACTATAACCCAGACTCCAACCTCACCTGCACAGAAAGCTACAGGCATTGTGTCAGGGGTTGGGAAGGGGCTGATGGGAATTGTCACCAAACCCATAGGTGGCGCTGCAGAGTTTGTGTCACAAACAGGTCAAGGTGAGCCCAAGTTATGCTCTTTTGCCAATTGATGCCTGTCAATTAAGTTCACATACATCTGTTAACAGATGTGAAAATGATTTTTTATGTACAGACACAGATGTGTCTGTACATATAGCCATCATCTGTGTCTGTCGTCGCCGTCGTCGCCGTGCACTTTTACCGATAACACGATAAGTGGAAAACCATTTTACCTTTTGACTTGAAACTTGCAGAACTGATGAATATTCATAATACGCAGGTCAAGTTCGAAAATCAGCATGATCGGGTCACTATCAGGGAATTTATGCTGTTTTTTCACTTTTTTCAGCATATATGCAGCACCGATAACACGATAAGTGGAAAACCATTTTACCTTTTGACTTGAAACTTACAGAACTGATGAATATTCATAATACGCAGGTCAAGTTCGAAAATCAGCATGATTGGGCCATTTTTAGGGAATTTATGCTGTTTTTTCACTATTTTCAATATAAATGCAACACTGATAACACAATATAAGAAAAACGGATTGGCCAATTGTAATTATACTCACAGGAGTGGTCAATCTTACTAAAACGCAGGTTGAGTTCGAAAATAAGCATAATCGGGCCATTACTTAAGAAGTTATACTGTTTTTTCACATTTCCTCAGATTCAATTATTAGGCATGTTAACAGTCTCATTATTTAACTAATAAGATGCCTAAAAGTGTTTGTTTGATATTTCCTGCATCTTTACAACATTGTTAGTTGATTATGTAAAAATGATGGTAAACTTGTTATCGTGTATTGTGTAATAAAGTGTCAAAAATGGAAATAAACTCATATCATTGCAGTTTGTCAGATTCAATCATCCACTATGTTCAGAATCTCAGAATGGAGGAAATTGGACATTTAACACTGTTCTATTGATACTTTTCCCATCTCATCAATTTTCTTAGTTGGTCATATAAAAATGGCAGTAAAATGTTTATTTTGTTTTATGTTAAAAAAGTGTTAAAAATGGAAATAAACCCATTTCAGAACAGTGCTGTCTTGTTTACATTTTGGCATTTTCAAGGCGTGACTTTGAAGTTCCATGGGCCTGAAGACCTTTGCTAGTCACATTTTCTGAATATCTGTGAAACAAATATTTTATAATTAAAAATTGATGGTCATTAAGCTGTTAAACATTATGTAATATTGCATCAAAATTTGAAGAAACCCCTATTTTGGGCACTGCTTCCATGATGACCATTTAAGGAAAATCATGTCACTTACTGTTCTCAAACTTACAGGAAAGAAACATGGGACTAAAATACAGCTTCAGTAGGCAATGCAGTCTGTTTGGTATTTTTATTTATTTATTTTTTTTTTTGGCAGTTAAACAGTTTTTTGTGAAAATTTAATTTTTCACATATTGGCATTTTCAAGGTGTGACTTTAAAGTTCCATGATCCTGAAGACTTTTGCTTGTCATATTTTCTGAATGTCCATGTTACTAATATTTTATTAATAACATTTGATTGTCATTATGCTGTTAAACATTATGTAATGTTGCATCAAAATTTGAAGAAACCCCTATTTTGTGCACTGCTCCTATGATGACCATTTAAGGGAAATCATGTCACTTACTGTTCTCAAACTTACAGGAAAGAAACATAGGTCTAACATACAGCTTCAATAGGCAACGCAGTCTGTTTGGTAAATTTTTCTGGCAATTTAACAGTTTTTTGTGAAAATTTAATTTTTCACTTATTTGCATCTTTATTTTCTGTTTTTTTGTCTGTACATTTGACAGCTTTGCTGCCTTGTTTAAATGTGCTTCCTATAGTGGACAGTAATTTTAAGCATTTTACTCACTTATTTTGGAGTCTTGAGGATGGATTTAGAAATATTTCATCTTACGGATTACCATTTTCTGTAAGCTGTGATAACACAATAGTTACAAATATAGTAAAATTGCGTTAGTTTTAACAGCACCAAACTCCCCCTTAATTTGATTTAATTCCATGCTAGTCACAAGACTATGGGATATCTTTTATGATTCTCATAATCTGACAGTTATATTCAGATAGTTAAGTTAGTAGTAATATTTTCCATCTCCAGGGTTGCTCCAGGGTACTGGATTAAGTCGTCTTCCAGAGCCAAGGTACTCTCCCACTGTGAGGCTGGCAGAGGATTGGCCAAATGCTTATCTCAAATTTGTCAGGTGTGTTCTTAAAGTTTTTTTTAAATTTATTTAATTATATAATATTTTTTTGAAAGATTTAGATTTCTAAAATGGTGGTGAAGAAAATAGATATTTACCAAATAACCACAATACATTTTAATGTGCTACAGGAAATCAAGACAGCAGTGATGTCTTGAGTAAAAGGCCTTACAATTATGGGTGGGGGAAAAAAGCATTACTGTTGTTGAAAAATTTCAGATGAAAATCTGGTGGTGACTTTCCTTTTCTTAAAATTTACAGCAAGCTTCTTAACACACTCCCAAGTGTGGAGCTAGTCATGGAGCTGCCTGCCACTCAGCATATCTCGTCCATAGATGGCGCTCCTATCGCCCTCCTCCTGACCTCTGAAATCCTGTTCATCATGAGCGTAGAAGAAGACGTCCAGCAGCAGGCGTTTGCAGTCTCAGAGATCTCAGTGAGACAGTCGAGTAGGAACCCATGGATTATTTATCTTAATGTGCAGGATCTAGATGGGGGCAATGTTGAGGAGGTGAGATTGAGTTGTGTTTTTCTTTTTTTTTTTTTTTTAACATAAAATGTCTCTTAATGAATTAAGAGTTTTTATCTTAATTTGAGGCAGGTGATTTTTTTTTTTTTTTTTTTTTTTTTTTTTTTTTTTTTTAAAAAAAATTAATGTTTTAAAAATTTTTTAATTTTTCTTTAAACCCCCCTTTTCCCCCTTTTTT